TTTTAGTTTTTTTTTTACCTTCAGCTTAAAAAGATTGCCTGCATTCAATTAAGCTAAATTCCCTATTACATTGCATACTTCAAGGTTATTAAAACATTCAAGTTTACAAGGTTATTTATTGTCATTGTACAACAGGGTTGCACAACAAAATGCAGGTCTTAGTCACATTTTGTAACATGAGAAAAACGCATACACGCACGCACGCACGGACAACAAAAACCCTATAATATAAGAATTAAGGAGCCTCACAGCCTAAAAAAGAAAGGAGCTGCTCTGAAGTTGTGTGGTATCCCAGCTGATACTTCTGTTTCTCTTGTCAGATGGCAGCAGGGTGTGGCTGGGTGGGTATTGTTTTTTTAATATCTTTTGGGCTCTTAGCAGGCACCTCTTCTGACCAATATCACTGATGCTCAGTAGATGGGTACCAATGATGTTCTGTGCGGGTTTAATCTCCTGCTGTAGAGCCCTCCTGTCCTGGGTCGTGCACATCCCGTGACGGATTGTAATGTTTCCAGTCAGAAAACATTACAAACTGGCATTTATTCCACTGTCATAAATGTTGATACATAATGTTGATGATCATATTTCGTAGTTCGGAGACAGCCATCAAAGTAGTAGTTTTCCATGGAAGTCTCCAAATGAAGAATGTATGTCCACAGGCGGATTTTACCTTTAAATAAATAAGTACTCTGTCACAATGGTAACTCTAAATGTTTCTAACTTGCGTATCAATTCTAGTTGTTTGATGTCACCACAGACATTGTGTTGTCTAAAATGTAGCCTGATGTGTGTGACAGCCAGAGAGGCTCCAACTGGACCTTACGACTTAACAGTCCGTATTTTAATTGCATTCTGAATGCTTACGGTATTTTGAAAAGGTCGCCTGTTCTCAGGATGTGACACGATGATAAATGGCGACGGAGCGAGCACAGAGCACACCTTTAGAAAGAGTTTGTTTCCAGTGGCCTTGATGGATATCATGGAGCTGTTTTATATTGGTGGTGTGAGGTAAAGAAGCGACAGGTAGACGGCTATAGATTGCATCAACCTCTTGAGGAAGGTGGTCCCCACAGGAGGCTGGAGCTCCCCCCTCAGGTCAAGGCGGTTAATGTTAGGAGATGAGTCAAGTCACACACACTCAAGCCTCCTTCTCCCAGAATATTGTGATTGGTTTCCTCCATCACTGCAGGTCCCTCAGTAACACCATTATGCCATTCAGATACCACTTGATATCGTCGGAACGAGTGCTGCGTCTCTTGGCATTCAGATGCTCCGATCTGATTATGCCCAAATTGAATCAGCCTGTCAGCTCTGCTATCACACTGCAACTCAAAACTCATGTAGGTACGGGAAGCTGAAATATGGCATCTTTGATCAAGGTCTGTTCAGCTTGGCCTCTGTAGGATGTGTTATATTAAGAACAAAAAGCAAGTGATAGTTTTATTCCGCAAATCAGGATTAATAACGAGCATCATTTAAATAATGATCACACAGCTGTAGCATTTAAACAGCAGGATCATAAATTACTGTATAGCTCAAAGAGTCATAAATACAGCCTTGATGGCTACAAATCTGTTGTTCTATCAATTCTATGCATTGGACACAGGGAAGACTGACTCTTACAAGACGGTTTGTTCTTGGTATACATTGTATACTGTCAATTCTCAAATAATCTCAAACTAGAGACCATCTTTCGATGTGATCACACGGGCAGATACGCCAAATCGATCCAGGGACCCAAGTGTGTGTGTGTGGGGGGGGGGAATAGCTCTTTCCCCACTTCCTACCCCCATACATCCGGGGCCTTTGCCCGTGGCCACACACGTCTTTGAACTTTGCCTTCATTTTAACCTCAACTACACACATGTACATATTTAGGATGCCGAATAGGGTCGGGGTGTATAGTTGAGGGGCCAATGGCCCCATCCCCACTTCCTGCCCCCCTTGCTCAGACCGCGCCCATCTCTAAACTCAGCTTTCATTTTGGTTTTAACTACACACCTGTAAAGTTTCATGACTACATCTTGCAATGTACTCAAAATCCCTCCTGGGGTAGTTCCCGCTTTTGGAAATGACTGAAAAGTGTACATTATATTGAATTTATCAAGGAAATGTTGAGTTTTTGAATGGAGATGGATCAGATAAGAGGGCATATTCATAATTAATTTGATAAAATATACTTATCTTATAAAACGGATGAATTCAAATATAGACCTGTATCCTATGTGAGCATTTCAAATAAAAGTTTTATTGCATTTAAGATAAAAGAGCATCATTTTTGTTGTATTTAATTGTTTTTTTAAGCTTTTGTGTTCATTCCTATTATCACAGTTGGATTTGACGGATAGACTGTTCTCTCAAAACTGTCGTGATTCAAGGCTGTGTCTTTGTCTTGTTGTTTTTCATCAGTTTGAGAAGTTGGAAGTTTTGCAAGTTGAGGTTAAAATATGGCTTCTCCTGTGATTCAAAGCCATTTGTCAGGAGGCCGGCTGTTTAGTAAAAGGCATGTTAGTTATGTAACAGAAGGGCCTTGGTGAGTGTGATAATGATTCAGACTGGTCTAACCGGGTGCTTTTCTGTTGCATAACTAGTTGACACCTCTATGTCCCTTCCATACACACACACACACACACACACACACACACACACACACACACACACACTACTTCATTTAATGAAGCGAAGGAACACAAACAATGCACACGTCCTCCGTCTCCCACTCTTACTCATTTACAATTTCTCGAGCAGCTTATCCACACACACACACACACACACACACACACGGGTACAGGCATGAGTATCACGCTGACTTGACTCTTGTAAAATCACTGAAACTGGTGAAGTATGATCTCAAGTAAGAAGTAACAAGTTGACAGCAGTAGAGCAACAAGTAGCAGCACCTAAAAGTCAGCGTTCTGTGTTTTTGTGTTTGTTTATGTGTAGAGTATCTGCTTCAAATGTTCACTCAAAAAGCGCTGCTCTGCCTGATTTGTAAAACAGAATTATACAAGAGATTTGCACTACTGGTACTATATGTTATATCCTTCACAACAGCTTGTTTAAAGTTCACACTCTGACGTGTAAAAGTGTCCTTGTTTACCCTCAAATTACACTTGCTTTTGTTACATTTCAGTTTCTTCTTAAGACCAACTATCCTACTAAAGCTATCAGCCTGTTGTTTGAAGTCTGGAGTTTTTCAGCTAAAATCATTATTTTTTTAAAAAAATGTTTCGGCTTTTAAAAGGTTTGACATCTTTCAAAGCACAACGTCTTTGTATCAGTCAACATAATATTGGATCATTGCAAACAAAATGTCTCCATCAGCTCTGCCAGCTCCATTTAGTCACCTCATAAATGAGTCAGATCCATATTTTTGGGCTGCTCAAACAGAGTGCTTAAAACCTCCAAGAAACAAACAGCTTAACAGAATGTGTAACAATGTAGTTTATTGGTGAAATATTTAGAGACATGGCCTTTTAGGTAACTGTATTGTACATAATTTAGGATTTCACAGTGGTACCTAGTAATGAATACAGATTGGTGGCAAATTTATGGAAAAACCAACCTTAATTTAAGTATTTTGAAAAGGTTTTCTTCATTGCTTCTTGTCCTTTAGTCTCCAATCTGAAGAACTCTACAGGAGGGATCAACAACATTCTTCCTAATAATCTTCCTTCATTTGGTGTTTTTTAACCGTGGTACCAAATTTGTACATACTTTGTGTCATTGTCTGTTATGCAGTTTTAAATTCCAGTTCAGTGCTGCTGAATGAGTCTTTTCAGTTTGGCAGAGGGTTGCTTTCTCCTCTGTTGTTTACTTGAATTTTCGGATATCTGAGCAAGAAAAACATCTTATTCGCCTCTTAGCTGCATGCAGGTCAGCTTGACATGTCAAGCTGTGAACCTTACTCACCACCTGACCAACAATTAATCTCATACTGTACCGTTCAACTTAAGAATTTATAAATAATGTGATGTGTCAAAAATAAAAATAAAATCTTTTTTTTTTTCTTTATATTGTAGAGCCATGGTTAAAGTGTAAACCAGGACCATTGTCCTCAAAGAAAGTTGGTTCTCCTGCCTGTTTCTGAGTCGTTGATCATTGAAATGACTGTTATTAAATTAAGCAGCAGAAAGAATCAGAACCGTTTATTGCCAAGTACGTTACACATACAAGGTATTTGAGTTGGTGAATGGTGCATAACAATAAACACAGTGCAATAATAATAATTAACTTTTAGGTAAAAGGTGGTGGTTACACTGTAATTACTGTGTAATTAGCACTCAGAAAATGTGTGAAAAAGAAAACGGCGATTGACATAAAGGCACTGTGTCTCTAGTCGTGTAGAGATCCGTTTCACAAACATTTAAAAATAGAAAAATATTAAAATTTTCAATAAAATATGGTAAACAAACGGATAGTAGTACGTTAAAACAAGTATATTATAAAAGCAGCAAGTGTATTTTATAATAGAAAGGATGTGCGAGCAGTGTGTTTATGTAGGACACAGTTGGATCACGCTGACGTATCCTCTCATAATAAGCCTTGTGATGCACACACCATGAAGAATGTAAAGAACACATTGGAAGATCCCTGTCTCATAGATGTTTGTACTCTTCCAAGCATTTCTCTTTTCCCGTGGCATTATTTGCTGTATTTGCTGTATGTTCACATTCATTTAAACGCCACCAATACCAGCAGGTTTTTGCATCATTCAACATGATGAATAGGGATGTAATGCTTGGTCTGCTCTTCTCTGATGATTAGCAGGCATGATAGGTCGATGTGTAAATATGTTGTATGATTAGTTGTTAAACACTTTTATTAAGACGCCTTTTGCTATCTGAGCACAGTGGCCAAATGTTAATATGGAATGGAAAACACTCCTTCACATAAAGTCAAGCTTGTTAGATAGAACGTAGTTCCAACTTCTGTATGTGTCAGTTTTAGATGTAAACCGATCATGCTGACACCTTCCTCTCTTCCTCCCTGTTTTCCAGGCGCGTTACAAACAGAGTCTGGACCCCACGGTGGACGAGGTGAAGAAGCTGTGCACGTCGCTGAGACGCAACGCCAAAGAGGAGCGAGTCCTCTTCCACTACAACGGCCACGGGGTGCCACGGCCCACTGTCAACGGAGAGATCTGGGTTTTTAATAAGGTACCACACACACACACACACAAACAAGAAATATGCTCTCACATTCATATACAGTAGCCGTGGACTTCTAGACCTTTACTGCCACAAGGTTCCAAGGAAAACTTAATCATCTGTTGCTGGGATGCTATATGCTGTGTTTACAGTGAGCGGGATTAAAGGGACTCATGGACCAGGCTCGCGTTTGTGACATCTCAAGATATAAACAGCGTCCTCCTCGGTTTAGCTGTAAGGTTAGCTAGCTCAGTGGTGCTAGGTGAGCTAGCAGTATCTGTTAGCTATCGTCCATAAATAGTCATTCCTTTGGAGCATCAGTTGATTTCGCAATGTAATTATGAACACAAACAGTTCAATCGGGAAGAGAAAATCACAACATGAAGTAAAATGAATAAAACTCCACCCACATTTTACCCCTTATACTTATTCCTTTTCCTTTAAAATTACTCTCTGGCTGCTGAAACATGGGGGGGGGGGGGGGGGTTTGGTGTTACAGCAATGTCTGGAAAGTAGTGGGAGAAACAAAAAGCATAGGGTATAACACCTGTATAGCATCAAGATTATTAGTTTTATTACTCATTGTCTCTGTCTCTGTATGTTTCTGACCATCTCACCCTCCCTCATTATATTTTTCTCTTTTCAACTATTTCTCTCCCCCTATCTTCTGCTCAAGCTCTTCATCAAACAGATGACTGGTTAATAATTAAACACAAATCTATAAAATGTGAGTTTTCAGCAACAACATCTCATCTCTCTCCCTCTTTTTCTCTTTCAGAACTACACCCAGTACATCCCGCTGTCCATCTACGACCTGCAGACGTGGATGGGGAGCCCGTCCATTTTTGTCTACGACTGCTCCAACGCGGGAATCATTGTCAAGTCCTTTAAACAGTTCGCCCTGCAGAGAGAGCAGGAACTGGAGGTGGGCAGCTGCACCGACAACACACACTCGTGGTTTACGGCATGTCACAACACAGCAGCCATGAAATTGTAGTCGGGTTGTAATAACAAAACAAACACGCACTGTGTGCAGGCAAACAGGGTGAAACAAACCGAGTTATTCACTGAAAAGTGGGAGATTTCTCTATTGCGTGGGCGCACACACACACATACTTATACTGTATTGATAAAGGAGACCTAAGTGTTGTCAGTGAGTGTCCAGTCATGATCCTGAATCCTCTCTATGAAAAATACAGGATGTCATCAGTGCTGCGATTCAGCTAATCAAATGGGCAGGTGGCTCTAAATTGAGTTTTGGTTTAGTCTGGCAAATACACACACACACCCTATCAAACAGATACATACCTCTTCCAGCCCCAGTCCCTTCACCGCTTCATCTTTTTATTACGTTTTCTCTCCCTTTCTCCCTCCCAGCTATGGAATGTTATGTGAATCCCTAATGAGATTGCACTGTCATTCATCTCAGTTATTCATGTGGAAGTTTCAGCCAGGCTGGGGAGGGAGGGAGAGGGAGAGAGGGAGAGAGAGAGAGAGAGAGAGAGAGAGAGCGAGCCGAGGGGGAGGTAACGGGCCGAGGGGGAGGTAACGGGCCGAGGTGGAGGTACAGCGAGCTGCTGTGTTACCTGTTAAAGTAAAGGTGAAGGCAGCATCTAAACTGCTGAGTTGCCGCAGTGTTCGACAGAGTTCGTCTCTCCATCTTCAGCTCGTTCTGCTCTTTCTGTTAGCAGTTTGTAACGGGTCAAAATCACTGCTCTTATTTTGCCAATTATCAAGATTTCTTTAACTGCTTTCAGGAAACAAAAGTAATTAATTGTGCCTTTGACAATATCTTTTGAGTTTGGTCATTTTTGATTCTATATTTTTATTCTTGACATGGTTTATATTTGAAAACAATAATTTCTTCTTTTCTTTCCTTATGGAGGGGTTTATCCTGTTTCCGGTTCTTTGAATCGAAGACACATGGTTCTTTTTGAAATTGTATACTATTATACTTTTCGTTTGAGTTTTTATCATTGAAATGTGTTTGTGGCAGCTCACCTGTCACTGAAGTAGAGAGAGGTGGCAAAACGGTAAGGGTTGGAGTGAAATCACTTTGACTGATACAGTTTTTCATTCAATATTCCTGGAACTATACTTTAGAATCTCTCTACAAAAACACATTTAAAAGGCAAAATATATTTTTATTTTTTTATTACTATTCGAATATGTATTCAAATGATAGAGTATTATATATTTGTTTACAGCCCTGCAGTAAAATCACTGGCTGGGCCCAGTGGCACCATGGCAAGCTTTAAGAATAACTACATAGAAATAGACAATCATCTCACTAATGGTCCAGTTTACTTATGTATGTCATAGGCATCAGCATTAAATTGAGACAGTTTCATAACCAAAAAAAGTTCTTCGAAGTCACTTTAAAGGTGGGAGCGTGAGGGTCTAACTTTAGTGTTTTGTTGGTGATGTAAAGAGGGGAAGTGCCCCAGATAAATGCAGAGGGAAGTTGCATAACATCCATAAGGAATTCCACTTTTCCACCTGAGTGCTTGCACTTCTCACCACCTCACACAGGAAGTGTATAATGGGGGGGAGGTAATGGAAAGATAAAGAGAGAGGCGATGCCTTCCAGAGGCTTTTTAATCATACAGGATATAATCCAAGCAGGGAGTCCCCCACCTTGCCAACACACTCCTGCACCTGCATCCCTCTGTCGCGACATGACACACACACCCCCCCCCCCCCCGCACACACACACTTTGTCAGCCACTTTTAAATAGACACACTTGCAGGGTGAACACGATTCACATAGCACGACAGGCCTGATCTCACCAGGGATTATTATTTGGAGATGCAGATGAAGACCAGAACATGTAGATGACGGCTGAAGGGAGGAGGAGGAGGAGGAGGTGTTTTATCACTCCTCCACACCATATCAACCTCCTCCTGCAGTCCATTCATTCAGTTAGTCAGTTGGTTAGTGTGTGTGGGTGGGTTGGGGGTTGTCTGCTCTGAGTGCTCTATTATAGGGCCACCTGCTTCCTTTTAAATATCTAATCACTTCCTGCGTGCACTCAGCAAACATGTTCACTGCATTAGCTGCAGGGCTTAAAGAGATGAGCATGTATACTGCACCCTGCAGCACTCACAGCTACGACACACTGGACTGTGAGAGCTTGTGTGTGGGTGTGTGTGGTTCGTTTGTGTGTGTGTGTGTTTTACAGCTTAGATGTTTGTGTTGGTGGCGTTTCCAGGATGCTCACATCAAGCCTCCATCAGCTCCTTCTATCATATTAATGAATAATTAATGCTAAGGCTGTATAATGTATTGCTCAAATAGAGTTGCATTTTGGTCGCTGTCAGTGCACGTGCATGACTGCATGTGATTATTTTTCCATCCGAATCTCCCCCCCCCCCCGTAATATTAGTCTCATCAATTAGTGTCACTTTTTAAAAAGAAAGGAATTCTCAGCATTTAGATCACACCCTGGTATTCCCAGTGGAAAAGAACGCTGTCATGGTGATTTTCATGGTAATTTGCGAGATTACAGTATGCTAATGTAATAATTACAGTGGACGCTTGGCATTAATCAGCTTCTGTTGGCAATGTTGTCGTCGTATTTACCGTTCGGATTACTGTGGCGTGCCGTCCCCCACTTGATTCATGGTTTCTTTCAAGAGACAATGTTCTTCTTAGGTTGACATGACGAGAGGCTTTAGAAACGCACGCTGCTTTGTTTGTGGTGTCTGCCTCTGCGCACGATTCCACATTTTCCTCATTGGAGGAGGGAGGGAGGGAGGGAGGGAGATTGGCACAGCTCCATCTGCACGGAAACATGAAGGCAGCCACTCACGCCTGCAAGCATTTCAAAGAGAAAAAAAATATGCATGTTGATAGAAAAAAAGACACTTGCACATTTACACACGTCCACCGACCCTCCCCATTCATTAAGACTATTCTCCTGTATTTTTAATATTATGATTTATTCATGTGTGTGCAGAGCTTCTTATAGAAGCGTTTCCTTAAGTACATAATGTCTCACACTGAGATCTGAGCTTCAGCTGCTGCTGCCTTTTTCCCGCCACTTATTATAGAGTCAGCTAATGAGTTGTTGGACTAGCAGAGAGCAGGATGGCTGAGCAGTATATACAGGAGTAGGGAGGCATTACACAAATCTACAGTGCCTCCACACAAGCCACTTTTTGCAGTTTGATTAGCTTAACTGGAAACCTTTTTGAACATTTGAATCAGGTCACGGCATTTTTATGAAATGATGCTTTCTTTACTTTTTTTGTTGCTTTTTTTATCAAAGTGAATTTTCAAGATCTACAGTAGAAATGGCACATTTTCTTGTTCTGTTTCCTGTTTTGATCCGGGCTGCCTGCTGGATCTCTTGTTGTATTTGTTTTCTTGTCTCTTCCTCCAATTGGCTCGACTCGCCCTCTGGATGCAGAAAGACGAGGACGTCCCCTCAGTGCTTGCCTCGGGTAGTGGGGGTTTACCCCAACTTGCATCAGATGCTGAGCTGCAACACACAGCGCACTGGGAGGCCAAAGGAATAGTTTCCATTCAGGAGCTTTGTTGTGTCACTGCTGTGGTTGTGTTTTGGTTGTTTTGGTGGGTCTACTTTATATGAAAGTAGTGCTCATGTGCTTGTCTGTGTTCGTTCACATGTGCATCATGATTACATGATCGCATGTGTTCTTTTGACAGTGTACATTGATTGCCAGGGCTTTTAGTGTACTCTAGCGCACTCTATGCCAGACGGTTTGAAGATGTCGCACACTCTCTCTCCTTCTGCTCAGCCTTCGTGCCTGTAGCCCCAAAAGTGTTTGCAAACACAGAAAGAGTTTTAGCACTTGAAACCGAATT